CACACACACACACACACACACACACCATCTCCCAGTTAGGAGAAGTCCAGGGGCTCAGGCATGGGGTTGGTCCAGTTTCTCTCCCTGCTCCCAGGAGAACTGTCTGCTTCCTCTACTGCCCACTGTGGCAGACTCTCTCTTATCACGTCTTCTTTCTTCATCTCCCCAAATTATGCATTCCAAAGCCTTTCCTCATTCTCTCCTACTGCTTAGATTCCCATTCTATTGCAGCACGCTCCCTGCCAGATAACCACTCCCTAAAATTTCCTCTGCCATTTCTTTGAGATAGTACCGTCCATTGACTAACCCTGTCCATTCAGATTCTTGACTGGGAAACCCCTGAAATGTCCCAGAGTAACTCTGATACTTGGGCAAGTCATCCTCCCCTTTATCCTGTTGACAAATAAAGAACAGTCTAAAGCCATTCTCTGAAAACAATGAGCACTTTTCACTGACCTCTCTGCCATCTGGTCAACCAACATGATATGCCGCTGGGTTCTCACACTTCCCATTCCACTCCCACCCTCCATTATAGAGTTCACCACACCCTCTGTGAGTTCCCAACACTCCCCCTTGCCTCTCAAAGTCTCCATCTTAGTCCCCCTTCCTGGATGCCACTTCCCTCAATGCTCAGATGCTTCCCTGTGTGAGGAAGATGCCAGGGCATCTGTGGAGACTGGAGCAGGCTCCATGTTCTCTCTGGATCCTGGACAGATGTCTCAATAAACTGTGTGAACTACTGGTTGACTTTTTGCGTTCTTGTAGTCCTCCATCTCCTCTTAGGACCTGGGTGGTGCTCTCCTGTGCCTCTAGAAGTTCCATGTCCCCCATTTTCAATCATAATTTGACTCAGTATTTCTCATACTTTGCAGCTCTTCCCACAAAGGAGGAAAATAATAAATATTTGTTGAACTGAAAGTAGAGGTTGCCTGGTCTCCCAGATCCTTCATCCCACTTCTCTCCTCTCTCGTTGCTCCAGGAAATCCATTCTCTATTTCTATTCTTTCCCCATTCACCTAGGTCCTCCTCATTCCCTATAGAGAATCCTAATTATTTTCTCCCCTCCTCGCCCAAGCTCTTCTCCTTTACCATCACTTTGCCTCACCTTCTAGACACCAGCCTCTCTGGGTGGCACAAGTGTTGATTTCCTGGGTTTCAGAGACACCCAGAACCTTGGGAAAGCTGGGACACAACAGCCTGGACCAGATTTCTGGTGACTGCGTAGGAGTGTGGGTGGGTATTATTCTGGGAGCTGGGGGTGGAGATAGTAAAAGACAGAGAGGATGAAAGCATAACAGGGAGTGTAGCCAAGCATGGTGATTCACAGACCTACATAAAAATGTCCCAGCAGGTAGAAGAACAGAGCAAAGAGTGTCCTCTCCACCTCTACATTCTTGCTGCCTCTGGTTCTGGAGAGACAGCTGTGGGAAATGAGAGAGAACAGAACAGTATAGTGGAGAAAGGGAGGTGGCCTCCATGGGAGAAGAAACAGAAAGTGGAGAGGGTGGTTAGGGCCATGTGACTATGTCCTGGAGACAGGCTGGGGAGATGCTGAGGCCCAGGAAATTCTCATATCCCAAGGAAGGGGGAGTGGGCATGCTTGTTGCTATAGGAAGGGCCTTACTCCAAAACAGAACCTCTGCTTGGCTGAAGAGGAATTCACACTACACTAAAATTTAACCCATTCCTTCCTATTGGCATGGTGTCAGCTAGTCCCAGATTTAGAACTATTGTTGAAATTCTAAGTCCTGAACCAGCAGAAATGTTTTACATGGATCAGAAATGATATGGGGCAGCTGAGCCAACCTGCAGGGTTGACTGAAGATGGAGGAGGGCTCCAGAACGGTCTTGTTTTTGTCATCACTGTTGAGTCACCCTTGGTCTGACATCTGGCCTCTGGAGAGCACCCAATGACAGGAACCAAGGCCCTCAGAGATTCGGTGGACCACGCTGTAAGAGGGTACAGACTCTGAAGTGGGAATTCTTCCAGTCTTTGGTGTTGTCCAAGTCAAAAGCTTTTGCAAAACTGGTAGATATCATCCCAAAAGGCTGCTGCTTTCCACCTATTGACCTGTTTTGGAGAGAAACTCTTTATTCTACTAGTAGCTAGCCAGCAGGGGATGGGATGAGGATGGAAGAGTAAAATTTAACAGCTAATATTTAGATTTCATGCAACAAAGGACGCCTAGTCTGGGTGTGTCCCTGAAGCAACAGAAAAAACAAAGGCATTTAAACACTTTTTGTCGTAAAAATTTTAAATGTACTTACAAAATAGTTAATGAATCCCTATGCCCCCATCACCCAGCCTTAACAATGATCATCTCACATTCTTTTTTTTTCTTTTTTAAAGA